GATGGTTTTATTTATATTGTATTTAATTTTATTTTTTTTAATATTTAAATATTTGCAACCGAAAAAGATGAATGTTTATAGGGTGGTTTCATGATTTGCTTGTGGAGCAGGTTTAACTGGTTCGTGTCGAATTGTTTGAATGGTGCTCAAATTAGGGCATCCTGAGTTTGGTTCAGCTCATTCTTTATTTAAGATGGCTTTTTCATAGCTTGGCTTATAGTTATAAACACTGCTATTCTTATTATAATATGAATGTTGATAATGCAGGATCTTTAAAAATATTATAAAATATAATTGATTATAATTTAAAAAATCTTAATCATATAATAATTGACATGAAACCTATAACAGCTCATAATTAATATATAGCATTCAACATCTGAAAATATTATGGGAATGAAATTTGAGGATATATTGTTTCTTATAAATGTTCATGCAGAATATCTTGAAACAAATTATCATTCGATTGAGTATAGACATGCAATGCATGTTGAGAGATTTAACTTTTCAAGTGACTTGACTGATAAATCTGTGTAATGTTGTGTGAGACCTGTGGATGTGTTGAGTTCAGTCTATTATGACAAGTGAGTGAGAAAAGGTGTGAGAAAAGGACAATCCCTGTTATTGGATTTGCTTCTTTCATGGTCTTATCAGTGGATATGAATACAATTAAGATCATATTTGTGTCAATTAAAATTATTTCTAAAAGTTTCCAAATAGGTGCCTACAATTTCCTTCTATAATCAATGGGCGGGGTGTGACAATTTGTGGGTCCAAGGTGGATGATGAGTTGCCATGATTGGAGTGAACACTATGCAATGCAGTGTGTAAGAAGGGAGAAAATATTATATCAGAAGTTTGGATGCACGTTTGGACTCAAATTAATATATGCCACATGTATAGTCCTGGGCTCAGTGAAAAAAATAAGTTATGTGGTTGTAATGTGATGAATTTGTAACTGTATTGTGATGATATTATGGTTGTATTGTGGTGATTTTGTGATTTAAATACAACCGCGACAATACAACCACAAATTCACCATAATACAATCACAAAATCATCACAATACAACATCACAATACAACCATAAAATCACCACAATACAATCATAAAATTACCACAATACAACCACAAATTCATCTTAATACAATCATAAAATCAATGTTTTCTTTTTTTTTTTTCAGTGGGCTTTGGGACTCTACATGTGCCGTAAATTAATTTGAGGACTCTTGGTGTAATATATTTTTTTTCATAAGAAAGAGGGGGCGGAGGTAGAGGATGGCAATTTCTTTAGTTCACCTATTGGTTGATGAATCTGTGAAATTAAAAAAGTTAAAATTGAGAGCAATTGATTGCATGTTTACTAGTAAATATTCTAGTTAAATGGCACTTTATAGCCGGCACATAAATCATTATAAAGTAGTCTAAATATGAATTGTGGTACTTATCATGTGTAGACTACAACCCACACTTCATAAACTATAACAAAAATCGGCGGAGAAGTCAATTTTCAAAGTGTGTAGGTAATTTTACCTTTATTTCTGATGGCTTTCCGATGAGTAAGATAAC